CGAGAGCCTGGGGGTGGACAGGGAGGGTGCAGCGAATCGGTGAACAGTCGAGTCAGCCAGAGAAACTCAGCCCTACTCAATGAGCTTCTCAGAACCTGCCAGAAGGAGCGGTGCCCCAGCCAGGTGTCACTACGGGCACACTGACGGAAAGACAGAGGCAGGACCTGCTGCTGGAGCTGCCTCACCCAGACTAGAATCCATGCCCAGGTGCACCCCTCCTTTAGAATTATAACGAGGTCAACCAGATGGCCCAGAAGGCCACGCATCTCTATCATGTGGCATTGTTGGGATTTTCTGCAGCTTCCCACATGGCAGCAATCCATGAGTGCCCTCTGCTGATGCAATCGCAGTGCAGCGGGCAGGACACGTCCCCTGCTCCCTCCATCCCAGCAGAGTGCTGCAGGCGCCTTGCTGCACCTTCCAAGGGGGTGGGTGAGAGCAGCACCCACTGCAGCCTCTAGGACGTGGGGTGAAGGGAGGGGCTGCAGCTGCTCCAGACGGTCGGACCAGCCAGGGCCCCCACAGGCCAGCACACAGGGTTGTGTGAGGTCTCGAGGCTGTGTGACAGGAGGCGGGTTGCAAAATCCATCCTGTGGGGTCTCCGATCCCTCACCAAGGGTGCTGACAGGGACGGGCCCAAGAATTCCCCACCCGGAGTCAGCACCCTGTGTAAGAAGTGGGCATGTGGGTTCTGCAGCTGTGCTTGGCACCGTGTGTGACCCAGCTCTCCCCACAGGGACACTGGGCCACATGGGGCCCTGGCTCAAGGCCCCCATCTGCCAGTACTAGGGACAGCTCCAANACTGAGGAAACAGTTCAGGCTGCCCCACACTTCTGGACAAGAAGCCATTTGGGAAGAGATTTGTCGAGGTCACTATTGTCACAACCACAGGTTTCACACTGTCCCTCCAAATGTGAGGACAGGAGGACTGGAGATCAGGGCCTTAGCCAATGCCACCTATGTCAAGAGGGGTCAGGCCTGCCAAGTCTGCCCACCGTGGGAGACCCCAGCTGGCCAGGCCTGGCAGGACCCTGGCATGAGCCAGCACTCCGAGGCGATGCCTGACATGAAGCATCTCAGAGGTCACTGTGCACGTCTAGGGCAGACTGTGCAATTACGATCTGAGCCAGCAACTCCCTCTCTCATTTCAAAGGGTCACCTGCCTCCCGTCCCCACCCCACTTCAACTCCATGTCCCTCACGGTCATGATTCTGTCTTAAATAATGAGAGGAGGGATGACAGTCCGCTTTCTCCAGCATGACACACTGCGCAGGACCACGGACCTCCGTCTCCCACAGCTCATTAAAATGCTGTTTCTCAGTTTTTAAAATCTCTATGGTAACAAATTTTCTCAGCTCGGATAAAAGCTGAAAGGATAAATTGTGTTTAACATTAATCTCTCTCCTGGCAAAATAACAATGGATTTATTGTCACTTCAATATGGTCCACGCTAGTTGTGACGTGAGCTGGGACACCGACGCACTTTATGATCCTCACCGTCTGGGCAGTCGGGGACAGGAGGCTGCTGCTGAAGCCTCCGTGCTTCACTCGTCCAGGGAAAGCCACCACAAAGGGCAGGCGAGAGGCACAGAGGCTTTCCTGCATCTCCTTTTACTTTGGCTGAGAACCACAGGCACTAGAGCACTTGAGGTATACAGTAGGAGTCTAACAAATGCATTTGCCATGAAACGGAATCATGCTAAGCCAACAGCTACTGGGCATGTTGATGGAACACTCAATTTGATCACGTAACCAATGGCAGTGACTGGCCCCTGCTAATGCCTGGTTCTAGAAAGATACAGTCAAGAGACAGATATGGTCCCTGCCCTCCAGAAGTGGCACTTCCACCACGGAGACGGGAACATGAAGCAAATCAGTTAATCACGTAGTCGCAAAATGTGCGGGGTTGGGGGGGTGA